TTTTTACGGTTTATTTTTTTAATATTATTTAAATTAAATAATTAGATAAGTTTTAAAATTATATAAATTTATTTGATGACTATAAATGTTATAAACCATAGTAAAAAAATTTTTTTTAAATAAGTAAACATTGTTATTTTATTATAATTGTAAAATTGAAAAAATTTATATATGAAAAAAGTAACAATATCTCTTATATGACCAATTGATTAACAAGTTTAATACTAGCTTGCCTACAGTAAATTATCTAAGTTGCAAAGAAAAAGAAATATTAAAATTAATAAATATCAAAGATAGTATTGAGCAGCTATAAGTACCTATTTAGATTTATGTGTAAGAAAACTATAAGAAGTAAAAAAGAAATAAAATACTAAGCAAAGAAATATATGCAAAAAAACTAATTGTAAAGTTAAGGATATTCTGAATAAACATGCTATGCTAGTAGTTTTATTTAATTGAAGTACAATATATATATACTTATTACAAATAATTAAACTACTGTCCAAAGTATACAGTAATGTTGATGATATATTTTTTTGATACTTGATTTGTTGTGATAATTGTATTGTTGTTTTATTGATATAACTAGTGATTGTTTTGTTAATTAATAATATAATTGGTTTATTTGTTAATAATGTGACTTTGTTTTGATAGTTATTGCTGAAAAAGATTTTGTTTATATTGATCAGTATATAGTATTTTGATAGTATAGATTTATTTGAATAATTGATAGTGTTTGATTAGTTGGTTTTGAGATATTGATTAATTAATAGAAGTAAACTGATTGCAGTTTTTTGATTTTTATAGTGCAGTAAATTATGCTGAGCAATAGTAAAAAGTAAACAATAAATATATTACTGGTTTTTCAAGTCAACAATATAAATATTTTTAATATGTGGTTTAATTTTTTGATTTGTAAAGAAGATCTCCAAGAAAAGAATGTGATTATTTAATAAGAAATATGTATTTGTAAGAAGTGAAAATGGAAAGAACTCCAAAGAAGATTTATAAAAAAGTAACTGCCACAGGCCTTTTCTTATGCAATCCAAAGAAAAAACAAGAACTCAAACTTTTTTTTCTCTGGCCAGAGGTTTCATCCCAATGCACCAATATATTTCTTTAGTTTTTTTGAAGTTTTTGTAATAAAGATAAATGATATGTGAAGAACTTTGAGAAGTTGAAAGATAAAAAAAAAATTTATTTTTTTAATTTTGAAAGATAATTACCAAAAAAAGAAATTTTTAAGAAAAAAGTTGTGTATAGAAAAAAGTTTTTTTTTATTAGTAAAAATTGTTTTTTATTTATAATTTATATATATATATTTTTATAAAAAGTATTAATTTTTTTGTCAATTTAAAAATAAAAAATTAAAATAAATTTATTAATAAAGTACAATTAAAAAAACTTAATATTTTATTTTTTATATTATAAAAAAATAAAAAAAATATTATAATGCATATAGCATTACTATTTAATTAAAATATAATTAAGACCTAAAAGATTTATAAATTTATTTTTATATAAAAAAAAATTTTATTCAATATTAAAAAAATTTTTTTTAATCATAAAAAAGGAATAAATGTAAAATTTATTAATATATATTAATATCCAAATTACATCAAATATCATTATAAAATAAATCTATAAATTAATGCTAATTTATTTATAATACAACTATTATTATCCTTAATATATACTTAATATATATTAGATTTGTTCTAGTGCTGAATAGTTGATGTCTTTTTTAGAGCTAATATATAAAACTACCAAATTACATAAAGGTGCTGTAGCCATGATTCTCAGGCTGGTCTCCAAATTCATAACTTGAACTGGTATTTGTTAATATATAGGAGATATTATATATAAAACAAGAAATAATAGATGGAAATAATTTGCATTGAAAGAAAAACTGGTGTTGTTAATACTGTAAATAGTTGATAATAATTAGTAGTAAAGGAATAGTTAATTTTATTTATAAAAATATTGTTATTATTGATAATTGAGAATTGGGTTTTAAATATACTATTTGAATTCATAAAATCATTATAATGATTTTTAAAGGTGTTGTGTTATTGATTGGGTTTTGATATTGTTATTTGAATTTGCAAAACTATGAGCCAACTGTTTAAGGACCAAGTAAAATATATGAAAAGCCCAGTATTTTCATATAAATAAAATATTGAGTATAATAATAAATTTTTTTTAATTAATTAATGATTTTATTATTTAATATATTTACTTATCTTGTATTATTTTTTTAATATTTTTTTTAATATTATATAATTAATAATTATAATATAATAATAAATTTAATAATTATATTTCTAATAATATTTTAATTAATATAGTTTAATATTTTATATTAAATATATAAATAAATATATTTATTTTATAAAAATATTTGTTTAAAACTTTATAAACAAACTATATATTTTATATAAAATTAAAACAAATTATTATTTATTTTATTTTTTTTATTTAAAATTATTTTAATAAATAATTATATATTTATTTTTATTAATATTAATAATATTTTATTTTATTAGAAAATTATTATATATTAGTTTAATATATAAAAAAGTTTTTTTGTTATATTTTGTTTATATTATATATATACAAAAAATAATTAAAATTTTTAAAAAATTTAAATCAATTATTAAATTTTTTTAAAGTAAATATACAATAATACAAATTTTTTATTTTTGAATTAATATTAGATATTTTTTACAAATGGAATTATTTTATCTAGTTCTTTTATATATTATAATTTAATATTGCTTATTGATCATTTCTAGCAATAGCTTGTTTATTTATCTTATAATTCAAATAACAAAAAATTTTAAATATCATATAAATATGTTTATATATCAAGTAAAGATTTTATTCTAGTAATTAATTAACAAATTTTATTAATTTATAACAAAAAAATTAAAGTACTAATACTATATATTATTTATTTTATTTTATTAAATAACAAAAATTGTTTATATTTATTTTGTAAAAAAATTTTTTATAAACAAATAAATAAAAATAAATTTATTAATAATTTCAAAATATTAAAATAGATTTGATATTTATAATTTAAAGCATTGACTTATAGTTAAAGTATGCAATATAAATTTTGTTATAAATTTTTATTTAATTATAATCAAATATTAAAATAATTATTGTTAAAGTTGTAATCTTAAAATTTTTTAAAATCAAATCAAGATAAATTTCAAAAAAAAAAAAAATTAAATAAAAATATTAACAAACAAAATTATATTGTATATATAATATTACTGTATCAAATGATATTTCAATATAATAATTTAAAACACATTATTTTATAAAAAAAAATTTTTTTTACAAACTATTATATGTATATTTAATTGTACAAATTAATTAAAATATATAGTTGACCAGTAAATATTTATAAATGTACTTATTATTTTTTATTTCTCTAAGTGATAATCAAGCTTGATCTCAAGTATATAAACACAAGAAGGTCATAACTCTCTAAATGCACATCTTCTTTACATGCACGTTTTTTAGAATTTTGTAAATGATTTCGAGGTGTTATGGAGGGTGTACTGTATACAATATATGTTATTTATCCTATTAGCATTACACATGTCAACCCTATCTTTAGATTTCGTGATTTTATCACAGCATTGACCAATTGCATAAAATCAATAATATCATGAAACCCTGTTTACATTAAAAAAAAAGGTATGGACAGTAATGTCCTCCAAGTCTTAATCTCGTAAAACACAGGTAACTCAGAAAACAAGGTTTATTCCAAATACGTTACATGTGTTGGCAATTTCCTTTAGTAGAAACAATGAAGATATTTGTGAACACGCAGGTCATTGGACAGTTACTAAAATACTGCATAGTATTGGAGGTACAAAAATTGTGAAACGATATATCTCAAAAATCATTTATTATGGTAACTAGTTAATGCGACTAAGAAGTTCGCTTGCAATTTTTTTAAAATCGTGGATCTATTTATTAACATGATGGCTGATGACCTCGTTCAAAGAAAGAGTAGGGAGCAATTAATTAAGGAACACGAGATGATACTGACTATACATGATGCCTATTTTATGCATGTGGCAAATAGTTCAGGACCTAATCAGGAAACTAAAAATGTTAAACTTTTATCAAAAAATCGGATTTCTATAGCAAATTTGAAGTTGAATAATGTGCACACCGGGAAATATTTGTTATGTCAAGTCATTTCAAAAAGCATTAAGAGAGACGCCCTTTACACTCTGATAGAAGATCCAGAAGGTGATGTCGAACGGCTCGCTTTATACAATTGGGCCCCGCGGTCATCTAATTCTAGTGAATACATAAGTAATGCGCTTTCTACCAGCGAAGCTTCCAAGAGTCTACCTATGGGTACCAAACTCGTAATTAAAAAGCCATATTATACAATTTCTACTGACTACAGCGCGATTATCCGTTCAGATAACCCTGGTGATGTTGTTATTATTGATAACAATCATAATCTATTAAAAGAAACAAAGTGGTCTACTAGTTGTCCAGAAATTTTAACTGTGGACGAGTTCCGTCTTCGCGGAAACAAGCATTTTGAGTCGAATGACTTTGCAAGAGCTATTAGCGTATACTCGGATGGTATTAAACTGGACCCAAATAATATCACGTTACTTTCTAATCGTGCAGAAGCATACTTACGGTTAAATCAGTATAAAAAAGCACTTGATGATGTAGAAAATGCTCTCAGGAATGATCCTCTTCATCCGAAGGTGGCTTTTCGAAAAGGCAAGGCACTTTGTGGACTGAAGCGCTATTCAGAGGCCTGTTCTGTACTTAGAGATTTGTATGACAGGATGAAGGAAAAAACAGATCACAGTAGTAAGTTGATTATGCAGAATACTGAGGAGTTCTTAGCGCATGTGGATATGCTATATTCCGAAAATAAAATTGGGAAATATGATTTTGTGCGTATTTTGAACGAGTTTATGGAAAAATCAAAAATTAAAGAAAATGATGGATCCTGGGCATGTGAAATGGGTCCGAGGTTAAATCATGCAGATTTTTTACATAAAGATATCGAGATTCGTACGACAAAAGAAAAAGGAAGGGGTTGGTTTGCAAAACGAGATATTCCTGAAAAAACTTTGCTGATGGTTTCCAAGGCGTTCGAAGCAGTGCATGTCAATGAAGTTTCTTCAGGCACACATACTGATCACTTATCCAAAGCTAGTAGGATTGCAATTTCAGCAGAACTCTTAGAAAAAATTTCACGAAGACTTGCGGAAGAACCAGAACTTTGTGAAGAAGTGTATCAATTATATGCAGGCCCAGGAACTACTACTGTGAAAGAACTCGATTATGAGTCATTGCGTTCGGTGGATGTAAAAAGGATTATGGGAATCATTCAACATAATTCCTTTGCGCTTACTCATGTCTTTTGTAACCTGGAGAATAAAGAAGAAAATAATTTGTTCAGTGACGATTGTGGAATTGGATTATGGATTTTACCATCTTTTTTCAATCATTCATGTGTCGACAGAAATGTTCGTTGGATTTTAATTGGTGATTTGATGATTGTTCGATCCTCTCGAAAAATTTCAAAGGACGAGGAACTATTATCATCCTATATAGAACCATACAATAAATACGAGGAGCGATCTGAACGTCTTTTGAAGGTTAACGTAAAATGTCAATGTCGTCTTTGCAAATTAGATAGGTCCGATTCAAGTGAAACAAAAACTAAACTAAAAAATCTCCTTAAAACTTTTGAAGCACATAAATCTCAGGTATATAGTGATTCCGCCGATCACCTTCTTGAGAATAAACTTGAGGAAATAGTGGAGGGGCTATGCGATCTTAGAAAAGAGGATCCAGATTTGGAATTCCAATCGCTAATACCAAAGTCTTCTTTAGCTATACTTTACGCAAAAAATGGAAATGTTCATAAATCCATGGCTTTATACAAAAACATATATAATTTTGCAAAAAAACATCATTTACGTCCTTTGGCTCATAAATATGCTTTTCAAATTTCATTTTGTTATGGTGGAATTGGGCAGATCGAAAGAGCAAAACATTGGGCTGACACAGGGCTTAGGGATTTATTGGAGCTTATCAAAGGAAAAATTGATAACAATGCTAAATGGAGAAAAGACGCAATATTTATTGCCGAAAACTTTTTACCGGATATAGTATTTCTTGCTAGGCAAATAAATTTGATCTAAGATACATTACTTGAATCAAAGCATTTCATTATATTAGTAAACTCAAGAGTTATGATAACATGATTTTTACTTTCATTTCATTTTTGAGCGATGTACTGTATGTGTATGTGCTTTTATATTACTCTATTAAATTGTTATTAGGATTTTTATCTAAACGACCTTATATTATCTTGAATTGACCCGATGGTTACCATTGTGTTCTATTTATTGTTGCATAATTCAGTTCCGTAATAACTCACATGCTTATTCCCAGGTCTTATAACACCACGTTAAAACGAAAATAATATTATTTATGTGACCTGCAACGCCACGTAAAAATGACAGCCCTTAAAGACGACCTTCGTATCCGTAAAAATCATTTTTTTTTTTTTTTACAATGGCAGACTTATTTACCAAGTAGATTTAATAAATATTAATTTTTTTTTGATAAATTTCTATTATGTTTTCTATTAATCTTAAATAAAACTTTCATCTTTATTAAATACACATAACCCATACCCTTTATTATTTAATTTATATTCTTTATTGCAAAAAGTCTTATTACTTTAATATTACATAATACTGCTTTACAATTACCTTACATAATTATTTTTCAATTACTCTTATATCGAAAAATCTTTTTTTTTTCATATTTACAATATGCATTAAAAGCAGAACAAATATTAATATTATTAAAATTATATATAACTTTATTTCTACAAATATAAATCTAATATTTTATCATGAATTGCTGGTTTATATAGTAGAATTGAATTAAAAATCTTGGTTATAATTTTAGTAATAAGCAATTTAATACTGTTCTTAAAAAATTAATAATTAGATATTTAATTTATCTGATTATACTAGATATATTCCATCTTCTAAATCTAAAATCAATAAAGAAACTTTAAAATTATTATTAAATTTCTTTTACAAAATTCAAATTTATTAATATTTATCTGTTCTTCTATTAAACTTCTATATTTATTGAAATAATCTATTATCAATTATAATCTATCTATTGTTTATTCTTTAGAAAAACTCCAAAATACAATTTATTTTGAATTAAAAGCTCAAAATTTAGACTTAAAATAAAGTTTAAGTAAACTTTATAAAATTTGTCTTTAAAATTTTAAAAAAGTAAAAAAAAAAGATAGATGTGTTCAATTTGTGTTAAAAAAAAAATTAAAAATTAAATTACAACAAACTAAATCAAATAATAAAAAAAACAACTCTATTATTAATTTTTTTTTTTTGCAAGGCACTTCTCAAATTGTGATCTTTATTAATTGTTGATTTAATTTTTATAGAGATAAACTAAGTATAAAATTTACAACAATAGTGATACATTGAGATATGTTGCTATAAACATCAACCTGCTAACAAGTAAATATATTCTATAAAAACTATAATTGGAGAAATTTTGGAAATAACTATTTACTAAATTAGGAGATTAGCACCTCCTTAATAATTTAGTTTTTCATTCAGATTTAATGAAAATAAGTTTTTTATCCATATTTAATGAAAATAAGTTTTTTATCCAGATTTAATAAAAATAAGTTTTCAGTTAGTGAAATACAGCAGAAAAAAATATTTGAAAGAAGAATGTTGGAGTGAAAAATGTAATTGTTGTTAGTATGGTTTGCTGGTATTATATTAATGATTAAGTTTTTTTTATTGAGTTGAGTTTGATTATTTTTATTTTTGGTATTGTTTTTGTTCCTTTTTTGTTATGTTATGATACCAAGAATTTTTTCTAAGAGATCATGTCATTGTTTTTGAATTTCCATATGTTTTTATATATTAGTTCAAGAAATTTGTTAAAGATTTGTATATGTTTGAATATTGGAATAGATTTTTGATTTTGAATTAGAGTTGAGAAGGAGATTGAGCCAGTAATAATTTTTATTGTATTTTGGATATTATTGAAATATTGTAGATTGTATTCAGGAAAGTTGTTAATTGATTAATTGATAATTTGTTGCATTGAGAAAATAATTGTTTTTAATATATTGTTATTAATAGAACAATTCCAGATATGATCGATAGTTTCTTTTGAACTGTTACAGTATGAGCAAAGATTATTTGAGTAGAGGCTAGATTTGATAGTGTGGAAATGGGATTTGGTAGGAAGACTATAAGAAATAATTTTGAGATGAAGGTTGTAAATGGCAAATTATGAGGTATTTATAGGTATTAGTATTGATTTAAAAAAATTTAAAGTGTAAGAAAGATTTTGAAAATTGGATTAAGAGGTTATTTGGAGTCTTTTTGAGTTTAGAATATTAAAAGTTCTAAAAAGATGATTAATTTTTTTGATATGTTTCTGGATAAGAGGAAGTGATAAGCCAGAGTAGTTAGTTAGAGTATATAAGGAAGGTTAGAAATTGAAGTATATGTTTATTGAAGTAATTATTAAATTGTGAGATGGAAATGCATTGTGTAAGGGTTTGTAAAAGAAACAATATATTTGCAAAAATTAAATAGTTTGTTTTAGATTATTGATTATATCTCTATATAATGTTTTGCAATTTGTTTGGTAATTTTTTGAATTGGGTATAAATATGGTTTTGCTTATTTTGTAGTTTTTTAAAAAGAAGGTAATGATTGATAATAGTTTGGTAATAAGAATTATTTGAATAAAAAGGAAAAAAGATAGAATTGAATTGTAGAGAAATTCGTGTTTGTATGTTAATAATTCAGAGAAATCTGTTCATTTGACAATTGTTTTGTTTTGATTAGTTTCGATTAGTAAATAGATTGCTTTTTCAGTTGATTTTGCTAAGCAGATGGAAATTAGATTTTGATGAAATTGTGATTTAAAGATTTTTTCAATTAGGAATTATTAAGATATAGAAGGAATAGAAATAATAGGGATATTGTAAGAGGGGAAGAGGTTTTGTATTTTGTAGAGTTTATTATATCTCTGAAAATAGAGTGTGTTTTATATAACTTGAATTGAGTAGAAATATAAAGAGGAGTAGAGTTTAATTCGTTTATTTGAAGTTGACAAGAGTATATATTAGAGATTTGGTTAAGAGTACAGCTAGTACATTTGGTTAGGATTAGAGATTTGTCAAAATCATTGGCTGGTAGGTATAAATAATAATTAATAAGAATTTGATTTTTTGAATGAGTTTTTTGTTTTTTTCAATTATGATAGTATCAGAAACTTTGATTGCTTTTCAATTTCTTTTTTTATTTGTTTGATATTTGTTTGTAATTATTATTGATCTGGTGTTTTTTGGATTAAGGTGTTTGAGTTTTTTATATCATTGTAGAGTTTTTTTTTGAAGATTTTTTTCTATTTAGCTAGCTATGTGGTACCATTCAGTTAGTTAGTTACTTTGGAAAATTAAAAGTTGTTTGAGATAGATAATTTGATATTTAGAAATAAGTTTTGCAGTATAAGATTAATTTGAGTTCCAAATTAGATCATAGAGTAGAGTTGTTCTACCTGGAAGTTTGTGATTATAAAGTAAGATATTGTAAAATTGGATATTGTATTTATATGCAAATTGAATAGTATAAAGTATACATGTGATATAAATTATTTTGCCATTAACCCAATTCCCAAAATCCTCAAAAATAATTGCATCATGACTCAATTATTTATATATTTTAATAGTGACTTAATTAATTGCATCAAATAATTGTGTCAATTGCATCAAATAATTGCGTCAATTGCATCAAATAATTGTGTCAATTGTGTCAAGGATCTATGAATTTCAGCAATATGTATAGTATAAAGCATAATATTTGTTATAGAAGTTTTGATAAGATTTTTAAAGAGGCAAGAGGAAAAAGCATTTAATAATGAAGAAAGTAAATTTCTTGTAGTTTAAGTTTAAAAGTAGCAGGGTTGGTTAGAGAGTAGTGTAGGTTGAAGATGAGAACTTTGGTTTGCAAGTCAAAAATGAATTTGATATTAAAAATATAAGGGTTGTAGAACCAGTTTTAAGGAAAAGTTTTTTCTATGTGAAATTTGTACTTGATAGTAAAGTCAATTTTCCTTTGTAAAAATATGAGTTGATTGAAAGTTAGAAAAGAGAATTAGAGTTTGAATTCGATTCGTAGAAGTAGAACTTTGTTATATATGTATGTGGCTATTGGACTGGTAGTAAATTTGATTTTGAGGAAATATAAGATTGATGTGGTGTTGTTTAATATTTTTTCCCAGTTTTAAGTAACTATACTTAACTTAAAAAGCTATATACCTAGAATTTTGATTGGGTTACGTTTGGATTGTAGTAAAATAAGGTTGTTGTTGAGAAGAATAAGGTTTTTTTATTTTTAGAATTGATAGTAATTAGTTTAAATTTGTTGAGATTTGCTTTGATGCTATTTAATTTGTTGTTATTTAATTTGAAGAATTTGTTAGCTATATTTAGTTGGTTTTGAAAAGAAGAGTGATTTTCTGCAAGAATATTAAGATTATCCATGTATGCTATTGTATTTTGATAAAGATTATTGTGTTTGTTTATTTGGATAGGAGTGTGATGAGAGAATTGTAAAAAATAATCTATCAGAGAGGTGAAATAGTTTCTTCTTAATTAATGCCATATAATATAGATATTGAATTCGTGTTGTAAAAAATAATCCATCAAAGAAGTAAAATAGTTTCTTCTTGATTGATGCCATATAATATAGATATTGAATTTATGTTGTTGAGATTTGTAATTACTTGATATTTTTGATTGAATAGAATATTTTTGGAGATGTTAATAAATTTTTGTAAAAGTTTGATATGTTGTATGGATTTTGTAAGTTTACTAAGTCAAAGACTGCACTGATGTTGAGTGAGAGTATTTAGAGTTCTCTTTTTTCCAATTTATATTGATTGTAGATTGAATTTATAATTTGGATAGATTTGAAAGTGCTTTGATTAGGAAGGCCTGCAAAATTTGATTTGGAGAGGATTTGATATAAAGGTATAATTGAACTGAGTCTGATAATTAAAATCTTGGTAAAAATTTTTCTGAAGGAGTCAACTAAAACTATTGGTCTGGTTTTATTAATGT